AATAAAATTATAATAATTTTAATATAATTTTATTCTTTTGACATTTTTTTATTGTAAACAATAATAGTCTTTAAATTTAATTTTGAGAATAATATTTTATTTATAATAGATTTTAAGATCTATAAATTAATAGTGCAGTATTTAGTACTCTATGGTTAGATCACAAGATATAGATTCAAATCCTTCAGTGGACTAATGTAATTTTCCTGATCAAAAAGTAGATAGAATCTGATAGATCATTTATTGGTCTAATCATATTTACTGTAACTAATGTGTCTGAGTATAGCTGATACAGATCAAGATAATCAATAGTTTTTATTATATTATATATATTAGATCTTCATAATACAGAATGGTCTATACAAAGATTGTGATCAAATCTTTATTTAAAATTGAGTAGAATTATCCTTGATAGGACTACATTATCACCTATTGATAATAAAAAAAGTAGATTTCTAAATTGGTTGCATATTGCTGAGGAAGGACTGACTGAAAATCTTATCTGATTTTAAGACTTTAAGCATATGTCTATATTTTTGATCCATAGACTTAACAATCAGGAAGTCTTAATGGAAGCAGAAATCTACAAATTACTTCGAAGAATCAAAATCCAAATCCAGGATAAAAAAAATTTGATGGCTTGATAATCAAACTACTCTTAATAAAACTGGTTTGGGAAAAATTAAGAAGAAATCATATAGTTTTCTGATGAGATAGTACTTATATATAGTTAATAAATATATAGAAAACTACATATATATATAAATTACTAATATAAATAGATATATGAGTACTTATTAATAAATATATTGTCTGTCTGTATAAAATAAAAATTATAGCAATGAATTTATAATATAATGGATAATAAATATAATAAACAACTTTTATATCCTTGAAATATATTTTAACACTAGTTCAATCTTGGTAGGTTAGCTCCTACTAAAGGAATGAAACAAGCCACAAGATGAATTTTTTTTAAGAGAAATTATTTTTATTGAGTTTTGTTTAATAGTAGACTGGTAGTATATCTTAGAAAACTTCTATATAATAATACTATATAAATACAAATAAAACAAGATTGAGCCAGTGTTATAAAAAAAATTTTTTTTTATAATAGACTTTAATAAAAACTTTTTAATTTATATTATATATTACTATTAATAAATTACTTTTATTATATATTTTATTAAACCATTGAAATATTGAAAACTACTCTTTCCGCTGATCCTTTGACTTCATATAAAAAAGATATTTACAAGTTTTTATACTTCCTTGCTAATAAAATCTTAATACTTTCCTTAAAACAACTTGAAGTATGACTTCAAGAGTCACTTCTATCCCTCCCCTATTGTTTACAAATCTCTTCACTCAAAAATTTAACTCTTAGTGATTAAGAAAAGTCAAGCAATACCTTTGATACCAATGGCAAGAAAGTTCCCAAAGGAAGAAGAACTGACTATGAAGTACCTGAAGACCTATTTAACCTTTGAAGCAAGAGGTATATAGAGGTTTTTGATAACAGAAGGATTTATTTTTTCCCTTCCAGTCACTTGTGAACCTCTTAAAACTATCACTTTCATGGTTTTTTGGAGAATTTTGCCTAACTCAGTTTGACCCTGAATTTTTTGTAGCACAAATTCTCACCAAAGGTGATTGGTTGACACGAAACACATCAGTTTTTGGAATGTAAACAAGCTCCTATTGATCACACTTATGTGTCTCGATACATCATTAGTGATGTAGGAACGAAAGTTCTAGAAAAAGTGTCACCTCCAATCATGTATATTTAACCTTCAGGAAACAATTATAATACCAAAAGATGAGCGATAAGTACGAAAAGAAGATTCAACTCTCATCTCTCATTAAGTTCCTCTGGTGATAAAAAGATTTTTTTGAACAAAAGCTAAGGTCTCCAAGCTTCTATCCCGGTCAGGCAAAGTTCTTGAAAAGATTTCTTTATCCCAGTCAGGCAAACTCTTTCGTAATATAGCGCTAGCTTCAATAGCGATAAGCGAATTCATACATTGGAAGAAGAATAAGGTTCTCAAATGTTCTTCTTGAAGTCACTTTCAGGAATGGCTAAGTTTCTCAAACGTTATGAAGCTTAAAGAATATCCCAATTAGGCAAATTTCTTTCGAGAGGAAACTGTAAAATGGAGCAAGAACCTTTTGGAGGGCTTTGATTTGTATTCCCATCTTTTTTTCCCAGTGCCAACTTTAGCAATTCATTGTTTTTCAGGATAATCTACAGTGACAAACTGTTGGTGATGACTCTGGTTAACTTAAAGGTACTATTGTCAAGCTACTAGGAGAGTAAAATATTGTTCCCTAAATCTGACTTAGAATACCTAGTTTAGACTTAGTTTTGTTTAATCCAAACTAGCTTAGTGGACTCCATATATTTTTTAAGTAGTATAGTCCTTTAACTAATAATGTATAATGATGAGTTAGTCACATTGTAAAAGTCTATAAAATATTTAGATATTTCTCAATATCTCAATAAAGACATGCATGATTGCGGGTTAAAAAAAAAAAAAAAAAAAAAAATTGAAAACTATAAAAAAAAAATAAGTTTAAAAAAATATATTTAAAAATATATAAAATATATAAAAACAAAAAGATAATAAAATACTAATCCTCTGACTATACATAAAAAAGATGTTTTCAAGAAGATTTTATTCTTCTTGACTAATAAAATCTTTCTACTTTTCTTAGAACAACTTGAAACTTATTTTCAAGAGTCATATTATTTTTCTTACTTGTTTACAAACTCCTTTGAATAAAAATTTGCACCTTTGGTGGCCTAAATAGAATCAAGTACTTATTTTCTTTACTAAAGGCAAGAAGGTTTTAGAAAATAAAAGAACTAATTTATAGAGTGCCTCCTTTCAAAGCTAGATATAATATAGAGATAGAGATTTTCTAGATAAAAGAAGGTTTATTATTCATCTTCTTACATATTATCTCTTATCCTCTTAGCATATCTACTGTTTTTTCATAGTTTTTTTAAAGAATTTTGCTTACCCCAACTTGATCCTGAATTTTTGGTAGCACAATATTATTTGGCTTCTGATTGGCTAACACGAAATATGTTGGTAGCAAGATGTAAACAAGATTCTATAGATCATATTCATATATTTTGATGACATTATTAATAAATCGAAAGAGAATTATAATTACAAATTTTATATTATAAAAAAACTCTTTTCGCTGATTCTCTGACCACACACAAAAAAGATGTTCGCAAGAAGTTTTTATATTTCTTTGCTAATAAAGTCTTAATACTTTCCTTAAAACAACTTGAAGTATGACTTCAAGAGTCGCCTCTACCCTTTCCCTTTTGTTTACAAACCTCTTCACTCAAAAACTTGACTTCTAGTGACCAAGAAAAGTCAAGAAACACCTTTGATACCAATGGCAAGAAAGTTCTCAAAGGAAGAAGAACTGATTGTGAAGTATCTGAAGATCTATCTAATCTTTGAAGCGAGAGGTATATAAAGGTTTTTGATGACAGAAGGACTTATTTTTCTCCTTTCAGTCACTGTTGGGCCTTTTAGAGCTATCGCTTTCATGGTTTTCTAGGGAATTTTGCCTATCTCAGTTTGATTCTGAATTTTTGGTAACACAAATCCTCACCAAAAATGATTGGCTAACATGAAACACGTTAGTTTTTGGAATGTAAACAAGCTCCTATTGATCACATTCACATGTTCTGATGATGTCATTGAGGATTGGAAAGAATGTTCCGGAAACAGTTACTCCCAAAAAGCTCAAGTCCCTTAATAAAGATTTCCATGATATCAAAAGACCAAGTAATGGGTAATGTGAATTATAAACTCTCATCTCTTACCTAAGTTCCTCAAGTGGTGATAAAGCTTTAATGGAAAAAAGCTGAGGTCTAAATACTTTCCTTGAAATATCCCAATCTGGTGCCTACTTAAATGAAAGATCAGTTGGATTGACTCGTTCGATACCGCAGGTAGTGAAAAAGAAGATTTCTTTCAAGGTTCAAGTGAAACAAGAAGACTATCCCAATCAGGCAGATCCGCTTTGAGAAGAGGTTGTTTTTATTTTTGGATTTTTTTGATGGGCCTTGAATTGTCACCTTTCCTCAATTGTTTTTTCCTTTTTTCCTTTTTTAACTTAGCAATTTATTGGTTTTCGGGCAATCAATAGTGACAAACTGTTGGCAATGATTTTGGTAGATAAAGGTTATTACCAATCTATTGAAGAAGTATAATATTGTCCCCAAAATCTGACTTAAAGTACTTTTGTATGAAGACGAGTTAGTCACTTTGTGAAAGTTTGTAAAATATTATAGATTTACTTTAATTTTTCAATAAAGACAAGCCATCGTAGTATGATTGCAGGTTAAAAAAAATAAAAAATAAAAAATAAAAAATTGGTTGAATTGAGTTATTTGATACTACAGGTGTTAACAATAATGAATAGTCAATATAACATTATAAATAATTCAATAAAGACAATATAGAATGACATGATTGTGGATTAAAAAAAAATTTTTATTGTATTAAACAAATATTAAAAATAATATTTTATAAACAAAAGTCAGTAAGGATTTTTAGAAATAGTTTTAAAGTTATACAGTTTATTGTGTTTAATAAAACATATATAGTTAACCTAATAGAGAATTTAAAAATTCAGACATGGAGATTATCATCACTTTACAAAAACATTGTTTACCGTAAACATACTGTACATTTTTTTTTTTTCTTCATAAATCTTTAATGTAATAAAAATATTCCACGTGACTGCATATATAATAGAACGGAGTTAATCTATTATTTACATGCATTAGCGCTTAATTTTTCCGCTCGATTTGGTTTGTTTACCAAAACATTGCAAGACGTTATATTTAAACATTGTCCAAAAGTGGTACTGATAAAGTTCAAGCCCCTCTCACCGTAAAAGCTCTCAACCTTAAATATACGCCGTTAAAAACTGGTTAAAATCTCGAGTGGGTCATACGCGGAGTGATTATGTCAGACGTAGAACAAGAACCGCCTACCAAAAGTGAAGTCTCAACTGCTCGGGAGCCTCGAGTAGTTGAAAAATCAAGGAAAAGAAAACACGAGGGTAATACGCATTCTGTACCCGTTGATAGACCTCGAAGAACCGTGCACCCTGTTGTTCTCTATTCTCAAGTCTCGGAAGCAAAGTCACGTACTAGAAAGCCCGTCGAGGTTGTACAAGGTGAAGGCGTTCCCCTTGGTCAAATCTCATCGATAGTTCGAGCCATTGACAGGCTTAAAACGACTGATGATATGATTAAAGGTTTACATAAGTTGCTCTACGGAAGGGTCGGAACGAAACACGATGTCAAGTCCCATATCCGCGCGTTTTCTGGCTTTGTCGTAGGAACGCCAGTTGATGAATTGGTTTTTAAAGAGAAGCTTGAGAAATGGAAAATATCCGGATTGAAAGACTTGTGTTCATTGTTCAGTCTTAAATCGTCGGGTGATAAGGCCTCCATTGTCGAACGACTTTTCGAGTTTTTGAAAAAGCCTTACGACACTTCAAACCCTAAGGATCGAAAATCAAGAGGCAAAAAGACCACCGCTTCTAAAACTTCCAAGAAATCCACAATAGCAAGAAAAAAATCTCCTCGGGATATATTCTTTGCCAAAAATAGAGAAGTTTTTAAAGCAAAGGAGGGAAATGAGTCAGCATCCAGACAAGAGATCGAAAAGCAGATGTCTGAAGCCTGGAACGATTTGTCAGGAAAAGAAAGGAAACAATACGTTTCTCTAGCCGAAAATGCCAATAAGTCGGCCACTTCAAAAAAAAAAGCGGTAATTCAAATTGATATATCATTATACTTAAATTACAATATGCTAACGATATAACTCAATTTAGCCCTCAAAGACCAAATTTAAGTCACCTGAATTCGTCTCTAGTGAAGAGGAGGATGAAGAAGAAGAGGAAGAAGAGGAGGAGGAAGAGGAAGAGGAGGAAGAAGAGGAGGAAGAAGAAAAACCCACTAAAAAAGCACGAGTCAAGGGGAATAGCAAAAAAGCTGAATCAAAGAAGAAAAGGGTATGCTAACAAATGAAATGTATGTTTTATATGAGACAGTTAATAATCCTGGATAAATTCGAATGACATATAGACAAAGAGAGAAATCAAGTCACCCGAGATCGTAGAAAGTGATGAAGAAATGGACGATAATGAGAAGTCCGATGAGGAAAAGTCAGACGCCGATGAAATATTAGAGGATAAGGATAAAGGTTTATTAAGCTCATCCTCGGAAGAATAGAAAAAGCTGAGAATGAAAATAACGATAAATCTAAATAACAGTTTAATCGCCTAATATCATCATGTTCGTAACTAGTAAATGTAACATGTTACGTCATCTCTTTATTGTATTAAACATAACTCTCTAGAATAATGAATTTTTATTGCGGATAAGGAGAATGTACATTAAATTGAATTTCTTGTTTGGGGAGGAGTCTTCAAAAATCACGCATTATTCATGTACGTTCAACACCTCATTTATTACTCGGTGTATAGGAGGTATGGTTCATTTACTAATTGAGAATTTAATATAATCGCGAAGTATTAATCATTTTTATGCAATTTCTCGAGAATTTTCTTAGTTTGACCAAATATGAAAAAAGTAACCGCGCTAACAGGTGCACTTTTTATAAGCGCTGGAGTTAGTCCTTTGTAAAGTCCAAGAAAACCATCCTGCATAACTATTTGCCTTACGCAAGAGTAAGTGGAACCAGTGTACGCAGGCACATTTCGTATGATGTAGTTAGCCCGATCAGGACCTTGCACTTGTAATCGTTTTCGTAACAAATCAAGTGGAAATACACCCATTTTACTAACTACACCAGACATTGCACCACATAGTAAATCCTCGGTTCCTTTCATATTACTATACCATAGATTTTTTTCCTGATTGAACAGAAATACGATCAATAAAGTTTTTAACCAAGAAAATTAATAAAAAAAAAAAAAAAATTTTTTTTTTTACATTAAGGCGTCGAAATGATTTCTTGAAGATTTCGTAACTTCCAAACATTAGACCCATATATGGAATAATCTGTAAAACAGATGCCGAAATTCCTCGATAAAGACCATGAATTCCCTCATTGCGGTAAATTTGTCGTACGGCGTGGGATAGTCCTTCATACACCTAAATTAATCATAGTAAAGATGAGTTTATTTGTTCGAAACGCAAACGTAAAACAAATGGCCCTCGTTAGTTTTAACCTTTTCATTCCCTTGCGCAGCGAATCTAGTCCGCAGCAAATCGAATGGATAAGTGGTAACAGTTGCCGTTGTCCCGCAGACAGCACCACTCAGAAATGGCTGAAGAGTTTCACTAACAACTGGTCTACCGCGTTTTGTCTCGATAGTTTTAAATAAAACTTGCATTCGTTGATATGTCAAAAATTGAACGGCACTATAAGATAGATAAAGATATTCTGCCGATAGATTGCCCTTCCATAAACCCTATGATGTAGACGAAGAGCGTGAGCATTTTATATACTGATTGTTCGGTTCATGTAAATTGGAAAAGGAAATCCTTACTCGAATGCCCTCCTCTTGAACAATCAATTTTAATGCATGCCACGATCCTCTATACTTTTTATTGAGATTGAGGAATTTTTGCTGTCCAGGGAATGTTAATCGCCCTGGCTGGAGCTTAACAATATGTAAGCTAATAATTTGGTAAATAAGTTTATTTCCTAATCGAGCCTACCTGAAGGCGTATTTTGATGACATCTAGAGGAGATGCTACAAATCTTTTTCATGTAAATTACTCATATTGTTCTAAAAAAAAAAAAAAAAAGGGAAAGAACCAGTATAAATTAGAATAAGGAATCGCACCTGGAGGCAGCTCCCGCGGCTGCACCACACAAACCTATTTCTAATGAAGATAATTTTGTCGACACTACGGCTTGATCTTGCGCTGGCGAATAATTATTTCCTTGGTTATTGTGACTGTGATTCATAAAATTTCATACGAAAAGTATCGAAATTTGTTGACAGTACTCTAATCACGTGTTTTATAATCAAAACATCATATATACGTGCGCATTTTAAACCCAGTGTTCAGAAAAAAAGAATGACTTCCCAGGCTCTAACGTCACCAACGCTCCAGGATCAAGAATTCCCAGACAATTCCATTCTTAATGATTCCGTTCTCTGGTTTGGAGATCATGACATTTCTATAACTCCAAGGCCTCCCAACATAGACGAACATAGTCAACGAATTTGCAATGAGTTTGATTCGATATTATGCAGTCCCAGCTCGTGCTTTGAAAGTATATTACCTGATCATCTTGTCCAGGATAATGACAGCGTTTATGAGAGTGTGCTAAGGAAAGAGCTTGAAACTTTAAGGAGAACCAATGAAATATTTGACAGGATCAATGACAATATGGATCGAGCAAGCGAAAATCTAAAAGTAAGAATTAAAATTTTTAATTATTTTCAATATTGTTTAGACATTCCTTAAGTACGATAAATTATCGCAATCATTTTATTGTATATACGTATCGTTTAATGGATTTTACGCGTTAACGACGCGTGAAATTCGCAAATAAATACATCGTTGTAATTCAATAAGACTCGCAACTTTTTTGTCACGTGAAAAAGAATTTCTCAAATACCGTCGACCAAACCGACCAACTATTGGATATATGGATTAACATATTATCACAAAGTATAAGTACTCAACAAATACTTTCCGATCCACTGTGGCAAGGCTCTACTGCGGTTTGTACTCGCGATTTAGTTAGAATGATGGTCTCGACAATTACGCGGCTTCTAGTAACAATATTCGCGTCATAATAAAAAGGAAAAGATACGTATATTAGAACAAGTGAGGGAGAAAGAACGATTGGAACAATTGGCGAGATTACAACAAGAACAATCAGAAAGAGAACGGCTAGAACGCGAAAGGATAGAGTGCCAAAAGAAAGAGGCTGAGAATCGAGAAATGGCTGCTGGTCCACCTGGAAAAAGTAATTATTTTATTTATCTGAGCGAACAACGATTTGAATTTGGACTAACTTTTTTTATGTTAACTGAATCCTAGGCGAAACGAGGACGATGAGAGGAAAAAAAAGTGAGTGGTTTCATTCTTCTCTTCAAATTTATGGTAATTAAATACCAATTTTTTATTAATACAAATCATATTTTTAAAAAAAAAGAGAAAAAATTTTTGTAAAATATACAACCTTTAATAATTTATCAAGGAACTTGACTGCTAAGTATAAAACGAACGATGTTTATTAAAATTAATTGTATATAATATTTGATGTCAATAAATAAGAATGTGTTAATTAAAAATTATATTCATGGATGCTTATTTCAAAAATAAGTTTTAAATAAAAAAGTCTTTGGACAATTGACGCATCTAGTGATTGTAGCGTACTATTGTCATCGAGTGCTAATCTATGTTAACATTGTTACCTAATTTGGTTTTAAATAATTTTTTTATATATTTAATAGAAAATTAAACATCGAAACTAAAAAAGGTTATTATAAGCATTAATTAACTATAGTAAAAATTAAAAATTTAATTTTATCAAGTTGGTTTAAATTTTTTTCAATATTTGAATTTATTAAAAAATATTTATTTGATATAATGCCATTTATGCAATATTTATCAAATTAATAATATAAATACTATAAATCACTAATTATTAATAGGTTTCTATTATATAATTTGATAAAATAATAGCATGACATTAGTTCTTAAAAATAATTAAGTATGCTATCACTTGCATAACATTTATTAACATATCAAATTAATGACACAAATTAATTAACAATTATTATTTTATTATAATTTGATAATAAAATTTGATATATTTATAATTTATTAATAATTTTATTAATAATTTATCAAGAATTTATTAATAATTTTATTAATAATTTATCAAGAATTTATTAATAATTTTATTAATAATTTATCAAAAATTTATTAATAATTTTATTAATAATTTATTAAAAATTTATTGGTAATTTTATTAATAATTCATCAAAAAAAATTTTTTATCAATTCTTTAATAATATATAAAAAAAATTTATATAAAAAACACTTAACTTTTTAATTAATAAAGTTTTAATATTATCTTTAAAATGACTTAAATCTTTTTGATAAAAAATTTAATTTTTAATAATGATAAATAATCAAATAATAATTCCTACTATCAAGTTTTAAAAACAAATAAATAGTTGTAAATATTTAGAAATATTTTTTGTCTTTAAATAAATTATTATAAATTTTTTTTACAATAAAAAGACTTATTTTCTTTTTTTATTGATTGTTTATATATTCTTAAATTTTTTATTTTCATGATTTTTAAGAAATTTTATATATTTTAATTTAATCTAGAATTTTTAAATATTACTGTTATTATTATTATTATAATGCTGACTCAGCTTTGTTTTATTTGAAAATTATGTAATATCATAATCTAGAAAGCTATTCTAGGATTCACTACCTATCTACTATCAAATAAAATTTAATAAAACATTCTTACAACTAAAGAAGACTTATCTTGTGACTTATTATTATTCCTTTGTAGAAAGCTAACCTGTCAAAGCTGTGCTAATGCTGAAAGAAATTTTAAATATAAAAAAGTTGTCTATCAAGTTTATAATTCATTGATTTATAAAACTATTACTACAATTTTTATTAATAAGATATCTATATATTCATATAAGGCAACTACTTTGACTTAACCATTTATATTATTCTTTGTATACAAATAGATAATATATATATCAACAATTACTTATATATCATATATTAGTAATATATATATATAAATAGCTATTTATATTTTACTAACTATATATAAACATTGTGTTGTATATAATTGATTCAGTAAAAAACTCTTTCCGCTGATCCTAAATTTCCTAAAAAAATTTCCTTTTTTGGCAAATTTCTTGGAAAAACCAGAAGCCAGCCACTACACAAGACAAAAGTCTTTTAAACAAGAGAGAAACAGCTCAACAAAAA